TCAAAGAATTGGTCAGGGAAAACCTTATGAATAGCAAGGAAACACTGTCTGATGTATTACTGGACAACTTTATGAATAGCCCTGAAACACTGTCTGATATAGTGCTAGAAGATGAGCCCCTCAGGTTGGAAGGCACTCAAAACACCACTGGGAAACAGCTGCCTCATCAGAGTAGAACCAACCTTAATGATATGGATAAAGTAGAGCTTTAAGGACTTTCATTTGCTGACATGCCACAACTCAAAATGAGAAGAAACAGCTGCAAATATCCATTAATAACTGGAACATGGAATATACAAAGCATGAATCTAGGAAAGTTGGAAACAGTAAAAAATGAATGGAATGCATAAAGATTGATATCCTAGGCATTAGTGAGCTGAAATGGACTTGTTTTGGCTATTTTGAATCAGACAACTATATGATCTACTATGTTGGGAATGACAAATTGAAGAGGAATGGCATGGCATTCATTGTCACAAAGAATGTATCAAGATCTATCCTGAAGTATAACGCTGTCAGTGATAGGATAATACCCATACACCTACAAAGACCAGTTTATTATTCAAAATTATTCCAATTTACCCACAACCACCAAAGCCAAAGGCGAGGAAACTGAAGATTTTTACCAACTTCTGCAGTCCAGACCAAACATGTAATCAAGACGTGTTGATTATCACTGGTGATTCGAATGAAAAAGTTAGAAACAAAGAAGAATCACTGGTAGTTGGAAAATTTGGCTGTGGTAATAGAAATAATGCAGGAAATTACATGATAGGATTTTGCAAGACCTATGACTTATTCACTGCAAATATGTTTTTTCAACAACATAAGCAATGGCTATACACGTGGATTTCGGCACATGGAGTATACAGGAATCAGACTGACTACATCTGTGGCAAGAGTTGATGAAAAAGCTCAATATCTTCAGCCAAAACAAGGTCAGAAGCTGATTGTGGAACAGAACATCAACTGCTCATATGCAAGTTCAACTTGAAGTTGAAGACAATTAAAACTAGTCCACAAGAGCCAAAATATGACCTTGAATATATAACCCTCTTGAATTTAGAGACCATCTAAAGAAAAAATTTGATGCATTGAACACCAATGACCAAAAACTAGAGGTATGATGTCAAGAATATCATCCATGAAGAAAGCAGTCATTTAAAAGACAGTAAAGGAAAAAAAGACCAAAATGGATGTCAGAAGAGACTCTGAAATTTGCCCTTGAGTGAAGAGTAGCTAAAGCAAATTGAAGAAATGACAAGATAAAAGAACAGAAGATTTCAAAGAGCAGCTCAAGAAGACAAAGTCAATTATCATAATGAAATGTGCGAAGATCTGGAGTTAGAAAATCAAAATAGAAGAACACACTTGGCGTTTCTCAAGCTGAAAGTACTGAAGAAAAAATTTAAGCCTCAAGTTGCAATACTGAAAGATTCTATGGGAAAAATATTGAATGATGCAGGAAACATCAAAAGAAGATGGAAGGAATACACAGAGTCACTGTACCAAAGAGAAGTGGTTGATGTTCATCCATTTCAGGAGATGGCATATGATCAAGAACCAATGATATTGAAAGAAGAAGTGGAAGCTGCACTGAGGGAAGTGGCAAAAAACAAGGCTCCAGGAATTGATGGAATATCCATTGAGATGTTTCAACAAACAGATGCCATGCTAGAGACATTCACTTGGTTATGCCAAGAGATTTAGAAGACAGCTACCTGGCCAACTGACTGTAAGAGATCCATGTTTGTAACTATTCCAAAGAAAGTGATTTCACAGAATGTGGAAATTATCGAACAACATCATTAATATCACATGCAAGTAAAATCTTACTGAAGATAATTCAAAAACAGTTGTAGCAGTATATTGACAGAGAAAGTCCAGAAATGCAAGCTGATTTCAGAAGAGGATGTGGAACGAGGGATATCATTGCTGATGTCAGATGGATCTTGGCTCAAAGCAAAGAATACCAGAAAGATGTTTACTTGTGTTTTATTGACTATGCAAAAGCATTTGATTGTGTGGATCATAACAAATTATGGATAATATTGAGAAGAATGGGAATTCCAGAACACTTAATTGTACTCATGAGAAACCTGTACATAGACCAGGAGGCTGTCATTTGAACAGAACAAGGGGACACTGCATGGTTTAAAATCAAGAAGGGAGTGTGTCAGGGTTGTAGCCTTTTCACCATACTTATTCAATCTGTACACTGAGCAAATAATCTGAGAAGCTGGACTATATGAAGAAGAACATGGCATCAGGATTGGAGGAACACTCATTAACCTGCAATACACTGACAACACAACTTTGCTTGCTGAAAGTGAGGATGACTTGAAGCACTTACTGATGAAGATTGAAGACTACAGTCTGCAATATGGATTCCATCTCAATATAAAGAAAACAAAAATCCTCACTGGACCAATAAGCAGCATCACAATAAATGGAGAAAAGATTGAAGTTGTCAAAGACTTCATATTACTTGGTTCTACAGTTTACACTAATGGAAGCAGTAGTTAAGATATCAGACGACATGTAGCACTGGGCAAATTGGCCATGAAGGACTTCTTTCAAGTGCAGAAAAGCAAAGATATCTCCTTGAAGACTAAGATTCGCCTGACACAAGCCATGGTATTTTCAATCGCCTCATATGCTTGTGAGAGCTGGACAGTGAATAAGGAAGACAAGAAGAGTTGATGCTTTTGAGTTGTGGTGTTGGCAAAGAATGCTGAAAGTGCCATGGATGCTAAAAGAACTAACAAATCTGTTCTGGAAGAAGTGCAGCCGGAATGCTCCTTGGAAGCGAGAATGGCAAGACTTTGCCTCACCTACTTTGGTCATATTGTCAGAAGGGACCATTTCCTTGAAGTAAGTCTCTCTCTCTCTCTCTCTCTCTCTCTCTCTCTCTCTCTCTCTCTGTGTCTAAATTAAGGATAAAGTGAGACAAGGCAACTGCAGGGCTGAGTGAACTGCTCCTGGGCCTACCTTAACCTCAGCTCAGACTGTACCACAGCTCGTTTGGAAGGCACAGCAATTCTATTACTGGGACTTGTAATAGAATCAGTTCCTAATCACACTGTTCTGAAATTTCCCCTAAATGTAATAAACAACAGAGTTCTGTAACATTTCAAATTACAGATTACTAAACTATGAGTTGGGTCAGACTCCATGGCACATAACAACAACAACAAACTAAACTATAAGGAGCTCTGGTGGTACAGTGCCTAAGGTGTTTGACTGCTAACCAGAAGGTGGTAGTTTAAACCCAACAGCCACTCCATGGAACAAAGATGGAGCAATCTACTTCTGTAAAGATGCACTGCTCTGGAAACCCAATGGGCATTGTTATGAGTCAGAATAAACTTGATGGCAGTGTGCGGTTTGGTTTTTTTAAAAAAAAAACTAGACTTGTTGTTGTTGTTGTTGTTAGGTGCCATCGAGTCATCTTCAACTCATAACAACCTTTTGCACGGCAGAACGAAACAATGCCTGGACCCGTGCCAGCCTCACAATCTTGCTATACCTGAGCCCATCGTTGCAGCCACTGTGTCTATACATCTTGTCGAGGGCCTTCTCCTTCTTCATTGACCTTCCACTTTACCAAACATGATATCCTTCTCCAGGGAATGGTTCCTTTTGACCAAAATAGGTGAGACGAAGTCTGGCCATTCTCGCTTCCAAGAAGCAATCCGGCTGCACTTTTTCAGGACAGATTTGTTAGTCCTTTTAGCAGACCACGGTACTCTTAGCATTCTTCTCCAACACCACAACTCACAAGCATCAACTCTTCTTTGGTCTTCCTTATTTACTGTCCAACTAGACTATAGAGCTAGCAATCCAAACATTTACCCGTTCATTCCTACCCAATTAAGAAAAGAGAGAGATGGTCTAAAGCCAAAACAGGTTTATTGGTTAATTTACACAAATGAATGTGAGCAACTTGGATATGTTCAAAATAAAAAAGGCTCAGTATAGCTGACTTCCTTTCATCCTAAGAAAGTAAACCAATACAAGCAAAAAGAATGTAGTCAAAGTTCAAGTTTACATAATGCTGTTGTTATTGTTCGTTTGTCGATCACCTCCAACTCCTAGTGAACTTACATACTACAAAGAAGCCCAGAGCCTCTGCTTTGTTAGGAAAATGGACAAAATTGTTGAAAAGTAAATGAAGTAAAAAGCAATTAAAACTGGGTTATCAATGCCTGTAACGTTATTATTCATCTATGACATAAGACAGTCATGTTCATTCAGTAACTCAGAAAAAAAGTTACCATTTTTAAAAGGAGAAAAGGAATGGTAAAATTGTCAGGTACAAATCATTTTAAACTTCTGACAGAGTTGCTAAGAGTTTTACAACTCCTTCAAATCAATCTAAAATTGAAAAAAAAAAAAAACTCCCCAAAATAAAAAATTGAAAACCTCTATACATTCTTCCGGGAGCTCTGGTAGCATAGTGCCTAAGGCACTTGAACTGCTAACCAGAAGGCTGGCGGTTCAAACCCACCAGCCACTCCTCAGAAGGAAGATGAGGCAATCTACTTCCATAGTGATACTGCCTCGGAAACCCAAGGAGGGGTCGCTACGAGTCGGGTCCAACTCGATGGCATATAACAACAACAACAACATACATTCTTCCTGACAATAAACCCAAGATTTTTCCCTTCTTCAAATATTCCTCTAAATCTAAATTATGATAAATAATTTACTTTAGCCACTGACAACATTTCTGCACAGTGACATAATTAGAAATTTTACTTCTTCCATTATTTAACTTATTCATTCCCATCCTAATCCAAATACTAGGAATGTATGACTAAGCAAGAGGATACAATTTCCCCCAAAGGTGGTGACTGAGGCATAACTAAAACTAACATGAGAAACTTAAATACTGATTACAAGCTCCAAAAGAAGAACTTGATGGCAGGGGACATGAGCCTCCTCCTTTATGGCCTTAAGAACATATTGCTTCTCTAAGGCAGAATTAGAGAAGTTACCCAAGGATCAGTCTTCTCCAAGGCTGGACAGGGAGGAACTGTGGAAAGCAAAGTTTTTCTTAAAGGATGAAAGGTCTCACCTGGAGACAATGAAACATCTTGTTTTGTGCATTTTAAATCATTCTTGTTTTCTACCATCAGTAATTGTTCTATCTCCTCTTTCAAAGATAAACTTGTCTGAAACTCATGTTTGGGTATCTTAATGTGTTCTTTTTGAGTAATTCTCTGGTCCTCTGACCCCTTGGACTCAGGGCAAAGGAGTTTGTTACTGGAATCCTCACTGGCTTTTGTTTCCTTTAGGGGAGGTAGATATTGAGGTTTTGTTTTAGTTTGTTTACTCTTAGATTTTTCTTTCAACAAATTCACATCTTCTTGTGATTCATGAGATGTAAAACTTGGAGCATTATCTACTCTAGAATTTTCACAATGTAAGAAATCTCTTACACTCTTTTCTTTCTCTGCTGTCTTTGTCACTGGTTTTTTTGGCTGTAGCGCTGTCCTCATTAGAAGTCCCCGGGCATTCACCCTATACTCTTTTGCAGCTCGCTCCCTGCGCTGCTTCTGAAAATCCTTGAGTTGAAGCAGTTCCTCTGGCAGCTCCATACATGTAGGCTATGAAAAGAAAATGAGCACGAGTCTATGATAACTAAACTTCTTAATATGGTACTTAAAATCATTTCTACTATACTTAATAGCATTTGGCAAGCAAAGGTTTTTTCAAATGTGTTCATATAGCACCCCCTAGTGCCTTCAACTATTGTTGTTAGGTGTTGTAGAGTCAATTTTAACTCATGGTGACCCCCTGTGTTCAATGTAGAACTGCTCCATTAGGCTTTCAAGGCCATGACCCTTTGGAAGCAGTTTGCCAAGCCTGTCTTCCAAAATGCCTCTGGGTGGGTTCAAACCACCAATCCTTCTGCTAGTAGTCAAGTACTTAATCATTTGCTCCACCTATAGCAATACTAGGGGCCTTGGTGGTATAGTGCTTAAAGTGCTTGGCTGTAAACCAAAAGGAGGGTGGTTTAAACTCACCAGCAGCTCCTTAGGAGAAAGATGCGGCAGTCTGCTTTCATAAAAATTTACAATCTTGGAAACCCTATCTGGCAGTGGTATTCTGTCCGATAGGGCCACTTATAAGTAGGAAGTGACTGAATAGCAATGGTTTTTGTTCTTTTTTTTTTTTTTAAATAGTAGTACTATTTTTCAATTAACTTAAATAATTTGAAAAGGCAGTCGATCCACATAGTTGTGTATTTATATGTATAAAGATTATACAGTGAAAAGGAAATCTCTCTCTCTCTCTCAGCCTAGACCCAGTTATCTTAGTAGGTATATCCTCTGAAATCAATTTCTTGTGCAGCCTCCCAGAGATCGTCCATGCATATATAATCAGATATATCCCTTACTAAATGTTTATTTTTTCACTGGATTATTATTTTTTTAAATTTTTATGTTCTCCTTTTTATTTTTATAACTCTTTCTAAAATTATTTTATATAAATGGTAACATATTTTTATATACTTTTCTGCGTCTTCACTTCTTTAACTAAAGATTTTCTCTTGGCAATTTCTCTACATTGGCATTTTTAAAGGACTGAATGGATATATCATAATTTATTTAACCAAATTCATACTGGTGGATGTTTGGGTTGTTATCAATATTTTCTTATTACATAAATACTACAATAAAGAATTTATTTTAAAAATGTCCTCATGTTACATGAGGCAAATAATTTTACCTTGTTTGTTTGCCTTTTGACTTGGTTCACAGTGTGTTTGCCATACAAAAATTTTAAAGTCAGATTTATTAATATTCTCTTTTATCAGTTCTGACCACCATTTGTCTGTCAGTCTATCATACTGTGGTGGCTTGCATGTTGCTGTGAGGCTGGCGGCTATGCCACCAGTATTTCATATACCAGCAGGGTCACCCATAGTGGATAGGTTTCAGTGGAGCTTCCAGACTGACAGTGTTTTGGTTATCTAGTGTTGCTCTAACAGAAAATACCATAAATGGGTGGGTTTAACAAAGAGGGATTTATTCTCTTAGTATTGGAGGCTAGAAGTCCGAGTTCAAAGTGCCAGCTCTAGGGGCTGGGTGAAGGCCTATTGGCCTTGGCCTTCCACTCTGCCTCTTGCTCCCAGCCCACTGAAGCTGGAGGCTTCTCTTAGATAGCTGCTAGCTGCTGAGGCTGACAAGTAAAATGGCACAGTCCCCAAATTATCAGGCAACATGGCAGGCCACTAATTCAAGTCTATTAGCAGTCCCAAGACTGGCAGACAACAAGGCAGGCTACTGAGATGAAGACTCAGCTACATGCAAGGTCCAAGTGTTCCAAAAAACTGAGACTTTTCCCAAAGCTGTCTTCTTATATACTAGAAGCAGACCATATTTCTAAGGCAGCTACTAAGCTGCTCCAGTACAGTCCAGCATGGAATTGAATACCAGTCTCATCATGGGGAATAACTACATCTAGCTGCCCAGCCATTCAAAACGAGGCCCAGCCAAGTTGACATAAAACAACTATCACAGACAAACACAGGAGGAAGGAGTGATCCATTTTTCAAAGAATTGGCCAGTGAAAACCCTATGAATAGCAGTGAAACACTATCTATTCATGTAAAACTTTATGAATAACCCTGAAACACTGTCTGATGTAGGTTGGAATGCACTCATAATACAATGGGGGAGGAGCTGCCTCCTCAAAGTAGAGTTGATCTTAATGACATGGATGGAATAAAGCTTTTGCAATCTCAACTTGCAGATGGGGCACAATTCAAAGTGGGAAGAAACAGCTACAAACATCCATAAATAATCAGAAAGTGGAATGTATGAAGTATAAATCTAGGAAAATTGGAAATTGTCAAAAGTGAAATGGAATATGTAAAGATCAATTCCTAGGCATCAATGAGCTGAAATTGACTGATTTTGGCCATTTTGAATCAGAAAATCATATGGTTTACTATACCAGGAATGACAAATTGAAGAGGAATAGTGTGGCATTCATTGTCACAGAAAATGTTTCAAGATCTATCCTGAAGTACAGTGCTGTCAGTGATAGGATAATATCCATATGCCTACATGGAAGACCAATTACTACCATTATTCAAATTTATGAACCAACCACTAAAGCCAAAGACAAGAAAATTGAAGATCTTTACCAGCTTCTACAGTCTGAAATTGACCAAATATGCAATCAAGATGTATTGATCATTACTGATGATTGGAATGCTAAAGTTGGAAACAAAGAATAATCACTGGTAGTTGGAAAATATGGCCTTGGTGATAGAAATGCATGATAGAATATTGCAAAACCAAAAACTTATTCACAGCAAATACCTTTTTTCAACAATATAAATGTCAGCTATACATGTGGACCTTGCCAGATGGAACACACAGGAATCAGATTGACTACATCTATGGAAAGAGGCAATGGAGAAGCTCAGTATCTTCAGCCAAAACAAGGCCAGGGGCTGATTATGCAACAAACATCAATTGCTCACACGCAAATTCAAGTTGAAGCTGAAGACAATTGAAACAAGTTCACAAGAGCCAAAAATATGACCTTTAATATATATCACCTGAATTTAGAGACCATTTGAAGGACAGATTTGATGCACTAAACAGCAATGACCAAAAACCAGAGGAATTGTGGGATGACATCAAGAACATCATCCATGAAGAAAGCAAAGTGGTAGTAAAAAGCCAAGAAAAGAAGAAGAAAAGACAAAAGAGACTTGAAACTTGCTCTTGAAAGGAGAGTAGCTAAAGCAAATGGAAGAAATGACAAGATAAAAGAGCTGGACAGAAGTTTTCAAAGAGCAGCTCAAGAAGACAAAGTCAATTATTACAATGAAATGTGCTAAGACTTGGAGTTAGAAAACCATCATGGAAGAACATGCTTGGCATTTCTCAAGCTGAAAGAACTAAAGAAAAAACTCAATCTCAAGTTGCAATACTGAAAGAGTCTATGGGCAAAATACTGAATGATGCAGTGTGGTAGCTAAGGTTATATGTCAATGTGGCTGTGCCTGGTTTTCAGTGGCTGGGCAGCTGGTGGTAGTTATTCCCATAATGAAAATGGTAATCAGCTCCATGGTGGAATCTACTGGAGCGGCTGAGTAGCTGCTTTAGGGATGTGGTCTGCTTCCCCTATATAAGGAGAAGCTTTGGGAATAGTCTACAGCTTTTTGGCATGCTTGGACATTGCATACAGCCAAATCTTCATTCAGCAGCCTGCCATGCTCTGCTGATCTTGGGACTTTTAATGGACTTGAATCAATGGCCTGCTGTGTCGTTTGGTAATATTGGGACTGTGCCTTTTCACCTGTTGACCTTGGGTTTGTCAGCCTCAGGAGCCAGCAGCTACTTGACTGAAGAGATGCCTCTAGCTTCAGAGGGCAAGGAGCAAGAGGCAGAGATGAACCCCAAGTTTGAGGGGCTTTCATCCAGTCCCTAGAGTCAGCACTTTGACCTCAGACTTCTAGCTTTCAAAACTGTAAGAGAATAAACTCCTGTTTGTTAAAGCCATCCCATTTGTGGTATCTTCTTTCAGTGTGGCACTAAAGGTAACCAAAACATGCAGGAAGCATCAAAAGATGGAAAGAATGCACAGTCACTGTACAAAAAAGAATTGGTCGATCTTCAACTATTTTGTGAGGTGGCATATGATCAAGAGCCAAAAGTATTAAAGGAAGAAGTTGAAGCTGCACTGAAGGAATTGGTAAAAAAACAAACAAACAAACAAACAAAAAAAACAAGACTCCAGGAATTGACAGAATACCCACTGAGATGTTTCAACAAACAGAAGCCACGCTGGAGGCACTTAATTGTCTATGCCAAGAAATGTGGAAGACAGCTACCTAGCCAACTAACTGAAAGAGATCCATATTTACACCCATTCCAAAGAAAGGTGATCCCACAGAAGGTGGAAACTATCAAACAATATCATTAATATCACACACAAGTAAAATCTTAGAAGTTAATTTAAATATGGTTGCAGCAGTATATTGACAGGGAATTTCCAGAAATGCAAGCTGGATTCAGAAGAGGACATGGAATGAGGGATATCATTGCTGGTATCAGATGGATCTTGGCTGAAAGCAAAGAGTATAAAAAATATGTCTACTTCACTTCACCAAGGAGGATATTCAAGCGGCCAACAAACACATGAAGAAATGCTCACGATCATTAGCTATTAGAGAGATGCAAATCAAAACAACAATGAGATACCATCTTGCTCCAGCATTAGTAGCAAAGTTCAGCAAGACAGAAAATAATAAATGCTGGTGAGGATGTGGAGAGATTGGGACTCTTATACACTGCTGGTGGGACTGTAAAATGGTACAACCACTGTGGAAAGCAGTATGGTGATTCCTTCAAAAGTTGGAATTAGAAATAACATTTGACCCAGCCATTCCATTACTAGGTATATACCTTAAAGAAGTGAGAGCTGTGACAAAAACAGACATATGCACACCCATGTTCATCACAGCACTATTTACAATAGCCAAAAGATAGAAACAACCTAGGTGTTCATCAACTGAGGAACAGATAACCAAACTATAGTACATACACACAATGGAATACTATGCAACGGTAAAGAATAATGT